TGTTTAATAACCTAGCAAGTGTTTTAAGATTTTTCAACAAGACATAAGTTACATCAATTTCCTTTCCCCATTATAAGATTTCATTCTTGCTATAATATTCCAGTTAATGAAAGAATTGCCACCATTCTTTAATTACAAGAAATATTTGGAGAGAGCAGCACTGTTTTTGTATTTTATATTTCCTAAAGCTATTCAGTGATAGCAGAAACGAAATTTCCAAGGATTTTCACAGGAACCAAAATAAATTTTAACATTGTTACTGGAATGTATGCTTGCTCTATAGACAATATTATCAGTCATACATTGACCGTTTCAGAGACAGATACTATTTTTTCTGTAGTTGCATTTGTTTTTAGAAAAATTAACATTGTCTTTGTTGGAAATATATTTGTTTAATATAATGCTGTTATGCTGGGATATAGATTTGTCTGTGTTATTAACACAGCTATAGTTAATCTTAATATTACTTTTGTTAAAAATCTTTTTTAGTATTGGTTCATGGTTAAAATGCTTATGGATTTAATTTAGTAAAATTCTTCCGATATTATTATGAACTTAAGATTAAAAGATAGATTAAACTATATGATTTTAAGCTTACGGTGTTTCTGTTTATTTTTACCTCCTTTCTTCTTTTCTCAATAATCTAAATTTAAATCAAATATGTGGAGTTCAATTTATATTACAATGAATCATTCATACAAAAAGTAAGTTTAAAGGACAGATCATATTTTTTCAGCAGTTACATTTATTTTTACAAAAAATACTTTGTTGGAAATATCTATTTAATATAACTGGATATAGTCTTGTCTATATTATTAACACAGCTATTGCTAATCTTAACATTACTTTTGTTAAAAATCTTTTTTAATATTGTTAAATGATTAAAGTGCTTATGAATTAAATTTAGGAAAATTCTTCCAATATTAGTTTGAACATTACAATTAAAAGATGAATTAAACCATGTGATTTTACACTTCTGTTTATTTTTACCTTTTTTGTTTTTTTTCTAAATACTCTAAATTTATTTTATGATTGTTTCATTCTAAAGTCTTTATATATTTGATCATTATCAAATATTTTCTTATTTCTTGAGTTGGTATATAATCTAACTTGGAATGGTTTATGTAAGTTATCTAGAATTTTGTGCTGGTGGTTTGTTTATTTACTGATGTATCTTTGGTTATATAGATCTTTGCTATATAGTTTGTAATAACCATATAATAGGTATATTAATTAATATAATGTAATATACAATATTAATAAGGATAATATGTATATTAATTAATATATACTTTATAGCTCTGTTGTATTAGATCAAGCACTGTTTTATTAGGACTAGCATTATATGCACAATATATATATATATATATATATATATAATATTGTACATTGAGTGCTGGTGCCAATAAAATTGTGCTCAATATAAAATAGCAGAGCTATAAATTATATATTAATAAAAATATATATTTTTTCCTCACTGGTAGCCGACTCAGGTGCTGAATTGAGTTGTGCTACTGGTGAGAAAAAAAATGTATATTTATTATTAACATATAAATTACAGCTCTATTTTAGAATGTGTAATATATATATGTGTGTGTGTGTGTGTGTGTGTGAGTGAGTGAGTTATCAAATGCAGATCAAATATAGATCAAAGTCCAACAAGATGATAAAATAAAAGAACAAATAGGAAACATATATCAATCTAACATGTTTCACTTTTACTAAATCTTCATCAGAGATTGAGAGAAAACAGACAGAAAGACAGAAACTGTGGTATTTTCTACTTTGTTTGGGTCAGTACTAATTGGTCAATCACACATCACGTGCATAAAAACAATAGATAATAATTCAATATGTATGTTAGTTGATGGAGATTCTTATATGTCTAAGTGGGCATTGGATAGTAATGTAAATTTTGTATGTGTGTCTGTCTCATGAGATTTCTGATGTTTTCAACTTTGTGTCACTTTCTTCTAATCTATGGCTGGTCTCTTTAAACATGTATTCTTTGTATTAGATACATACAAGTTAGATTCTTTAAGAATATATATATATATATCAGTTAGCTATGTGCCATGCGTGATACATGCTTAAGCAATCATGTATCTTTCAATACATGACTGACGAGACAGATTTTTTCCCACAGTAGGTTGCCATTTCTTTCTTGCCATCCAAGGTTAAAAAATCTGATCTGTCCTGCTATTTACCCATAGCTGGGGGGAGAAGAGGATTCATACCTTTTCTAAAGAAATGAGTACGTAAGTGAATATGATGGATTCAACTAGAATTTGAACTCAGCTCTCCAATTCCTCAATTCAAGCTGCTCCACTATGCCTTATATATTATATATATATATATATATATATATATATATATATATATATGATTAATAAAAATATTAAATATTTGTCATGTAGCTGATTGATGTCATATTCAGCACCTCTTATCTACAGTTTCTCAAACGAACATTTGTGTAATTGTTTGTTAACCTAAGTATTTTTGATTTTTTTTTAAGATTATCTTCAGGGGTAAATTACAAATACAAACTTATTTTAACTGCAGTAAAATCTGTATTCTGTTGTAACAGCGATTTTTAAATATATATATGTGTGTGTGTGTTAAGGTTGCATTTATTAATTGGTTGATAATATGTTTTCACTCTCCATAAACATTGCCAAAAACTGATTAGCAAAAGATTCTCAGAATATTATTGAAATCTATTCTTTATTGAAGATAGCTAATGATAACAAAAATTAGGGAAGAAATGTCTGTGATGTAATTAATAAGGATGACCAAGTTGGAAAAAAATCAATTGCCCACCCCCCAAAAAAAACAAAACAAAAGCCAATGACTAATTAATTGGCAAATGCTGATATAACCAATTACTGATTATTAGTCAATTAGTGCAAATCTCTCTCTCACATACACACACATCTGCTATCAATTGCTTTCTCTATTTATCTATCTATTTATATGTATGTATATATATATATATATATATATATTAAAAAAAAAGAGAGGTGCTGCAAATTTTTTTTAGTTGTAATGTGGATTTATTTAGAAAAAAAAATACTTTGTTTATTTTTTCTAAATTCAAACATTACAATCAAAAATTTTTTATTTCTTCTTCTTTAATATACATACTTTTCACTCATTGGAACCACTACAACCTCTTTCTTTTATATATATATATATACATAGGTGTGTGTGTGTGTGTGTGTTTCGATATTTCATTTTTTATTTTTATTGCTTATTTTTTTAAAATGTCTGGTTTATTATCAGATTAGCTAAATTTATTTCATTTAATAAAATGTAGTCAGTCTGATGAGGCAGGTATATATATATGTATATCTGTTGAAATAAATTTATAACTGATTATATGATGAATTAAGTCTTTTCTTTATTATTTATTTATACTGCTCTGTATATAGATTTGCACATTGAGCTCTCGTCATGGATTTAACATTTTAATACTTTTATATTAAAAAGACCTCTTTGGAATAATTTCTACCACTGACAGATTTGGTATTATATATATATATATAGTCATATTTGAGCATGTTTCATTGAATAATATAAACATATTAGGTCTATTTATTTTTCTAATAATCCTTTCTTCTCTAATCAGCTTCTTGATGTTAAGTTGAAATTTATCAATTAAGGTTCCATAGTTTTTGTTAACCCAAGTACTTTCCATCTCCTCCAAGATTATCCTCAAGGGTGAATTGCAAAAACAAAATGTAACTGTGATCAATGTGATGTTGATTTTTGTAAACACACGTGAATGCACCCTTATAATTATTTTAAAATTATCCTTTGTATCTATTATGTGTTTTGTAAACATGTGTCCACAATGTAAGGGAGCTAAGCACTGATGGTAAAAATGCAACATGGCATTAAATTTTGGTGTTGTCAACAAGTATTTTCCCTCTCTTTTCTGTCTCCTGTCTTCCTCTCTTCTCTGTCTCCCATACTCACTTCTCTCTCTTCTCACTGCGGTCAAATGATGATGAAAAGCATTGCTAATAATTTTAATATGAATATACATTAAAATCAAGAAAAAAGGGATTGTTGGTAGCCAAGAATGGATGCAAGCATTACTGTTAGAATGGTGTTATATCGATAATATTTTTACTGAGAGAGAACAGCACATTAACAAAGTAACACCAGGGTAGAATATATGAAGGCCAATGTACCCATCATGACACCAAGTCTAATAAGGGTATATCAGGTACATGCATCACAGCCAAATGTGAACAATATGGGCACAGGTTTTGATAAAATTCAGTACTTTGCAAGATACAAATACCTTCAAGTTGGATATCCCAGTTTGCTCAGACAGATGGTCTCCAATTGAGAGTGGGGTCAAGTATCGAGATGTGACTCCCACGTCACATTGCCTGCTTCATCCTTCCAACCCAAAACAAAGAAAGCTTAGCAAATTTGAACATTCGTTCCCGCAAAAAAACAAAATGTCAAAAGAACTGTTTTTTTCCATTGACATTGCTTTTATTTTGACTTCCTTCACTTTTTGGCAATGTTTATTGTTTAAAAAAGCAATGATTAGAATTGGAATAAAACCTAAACATATGGATGTGAATTTATACATTTTCTTGAGAATTTATAACAAAAATAATAATCATTATTTATTTATTAGATTATTTATTTACACTATTTATTATTTATCATATTATTTATTGAAATGATTGGCAAAACTTTGGCTAATTGCCAATTGATTCAAACTTTATAAAATGGTAAATAATAAGGATTTTCTTATAGTTAGTTCAAATATTTTAATAATTTACTAAATGTTTATAAATTTATAAATAAAAAATGGCTTTCAGATTTATTTCTTTATAAAATATTAAATGATAAATATTACCTTGCATTAGTACAATTGTATAAAATTATTCTTGTAAATAAACAATCTAATAGTGTTTAATATTTTTGTTGTAAATTCTAAAGAACAAAAAAGAATGAAATCTGGTACTGAGTGGGATATGTACTGTAGCCCAGCAATCCCCAACAACTTGGCCACAAACCAGTAATGGGTCATAGACCATTTGGTAGTGAGCAGCACAGAAAAAATAACACCTTTTTGTCCCTATTTTATTGACCATCATGGTCTTGTTACATGTGTTGCAGACAATGACATCCCCTGCTCCTTGGAAAAATTGTGTTGCATGACACTGGTCCATTCCGCTAAAAATCTTGTGAACTGCTGCTTTAGCCCATTTTAATTCAACATAACAAAACATGTATATATTAACAACCTTAATCAATGAGAATCCTTGAGAGCCATATTTGGTGTAGCGTTAAAGAATTTTATAATCATTGTTGTCATAAAATCATTTTTTTTTTTTTTTTTTTTTTCCAGAGATTTCCGTTCAAGCAAGTTACGTTGTGACTGTCATTTACAGTGGATTGTCAAATGGTCTCGAGACAATAGTGTCAAAATCCAGGACACGACTGTCTGCGCAATGCCATCTGATGTTAAGGGTCGTCCAGTTAAAGACCTTAAGAAGAAGGACCTACATTGCGGTAAGTTTTTTTATTTTTTTTAAGGTATGTGTTTGTTTATTTAATCTTGTCACTGTGCAATTCAAAGTCAAATTGGACAGTAATCCCCAGGTGCACCGACACAAAAAAAATCATATGTATGTGTGTGTTGTCCAATAAAAAAATGTTGGATTGTTTTAGCTGAATATTTTTCTCTCTCTCTCTCTTTCTCTCTCATATATATATATATATATATAATTTATATATATATATATAGTTAAACCGGATCGTCAGGGAAAGCTGGCATTTACAGTGGATTTCCCTGACGATTCGCTTAGGTGAAACCTGGGTAGGTTTGTCTGGCTCACTAGGTTTGACCAGGTCTGCTCTACGGTTGTATTGAGCTCTTTTTGGTTAGTTATTTACTCGTGTCAGGGTTTTTTTCTTTGGGCCTCTATCTGTGCGATTTTTTCGACAGACTTTCATGTTCCTGGCTCTTTCTTTTTTAAAACCTTTTCTTCTTGAGATTAATTTAATTATTGGCAAATCAAAATTCAAGGTTTTTTGAGAACAGTATATTACCTATATATATATATATATATATATATATATATATATATATATATATATATATTATAATTATTTTTTTAAAAATATGATTCCTTTGCAGAAAAAAAAAATTTTTTTAAAATAATTATAATTTTTAAAAAATAATTATAATTTAAGCATGACTTCTGTATGGAGCACTATTTTTTAAAAATAAAAACAAAAATACTAAAGAACTCCAGATTATTTACCTAACGTGTTCTTTCCTATTTTTCTACATATCTGCACATATATATATATATATATATATATATATATATATATATAAATTCAAACAAGTTATATCTGCAACACAAAGGACTAGAAGACTTTAAGAAAAATTTGATTAACTTAGTAGGAAACATAAAATTCCACAAACAACAATATGCCTTCCAAAAAGCCTAAAAGAAGATATAACTAAAATAAACAATTCAACTAACGTATTTATCACAGTGTATTAAAATAGAAATTTATACAAACTAAGTTACCGTAAACAACAAATCACTTAAGGACAACATGACTAAAACATACAAAAAAGTATCAAAAACTTCAAAGCACACTATAAATAAAGAAGCAAAAACTATCGCCCAAAAATTAGATCTAGACGACAAAATAAATTGATTGCTAAGGCACAAGTATTTATCAGACTAAAAGACCTCAAGGATAATTTCAGAACAAACCCTACATACAGACTCATGAACCCTACCAAAATTGAAGTAGATAAAATAAGTAAAATGATACTAGAAATAATTGATTCAGAGCTAGTGAAGAAGTTAGGAGTAAATTAGTGGAAAAATATAAAAACAAATATACACTGGTTCAGCAACCTAAAAAACAAATATAATTGCCAATTTATACAACTAGATATAAAAGAATTTTATCCTTCTATAAAAGAAACCCATGCTAGATAAGGCTTTGCTCAAGACAAAATAAAACTAAATACAAATGAAACAGAAATCATTAAACACTCTCGAAAATCACTACTATTCAACAATGAAGGCACATGGATAAAGAAAGAAGGGACACCTGGGAAGTTTTGACGGTGCAGATACAGGTCTCTACAGGGATGATAGACTCATAATTTTAAGAAACTGTAACAAACAAAACACAGACAAAACTAGAGAAACGATCATAAAGATTTTCAAAAAGATGGGATTCAACATAGACATAAAAACTAACCTAAATGTAGTAGATTTTCTAGATGTCACCTTCAACCTAAGAAAAGGTGCATAGAAGCCATACAGAAAATCCAATAATGAACCATTGTATATACACACATTTTCCAATCTCCCACCATCTATAATCAAGCAGATACCAAAATCAATTAACTGCAGGCTTTCTGACAATTCTTCCAATGAAACCTTATTCAAACAAAGCTAAGTAAAACTATGAAACAGCCCTAAAAGATAGTGAATCCCCAGCAACACTCACATACACACCATATAGCATTAAAAAAAAAGCCAACAAGAAGAGCAACATCATATGTTTCAACCCACTGTACAACAAAAATATAAAAACAAACATAAGAAAATATTCATTAAACTCATAAACAAACACTTCTCCGCATCAAGCAGTCTCCACAGCATATTCAACAAAAACCAACAAAATCAGCTGCAGTTGCACCAACAACATGACACAAATAATAAAAAAACACAAGAAGAAAACAATCAGCAAACCACCTGAACAAATTAAACCCACATATAACTGCAGAATAAAAAATGACTGTCCCTTAAATGGCATTTACCTGCTGAACAATGTAATATACCAAGTCACTGTAAAATCAGCAGAAAGTGATGAAAAATATGCAAGGGGTAACTGAAGGACTCTGGAAACAAAGAAACTACATGCACAAAAAATCCTTTACAAATAGTAATTACGTCAGTAAACTGTTTCAGCTGGTGGGCTAAACGTAAATGCATGTGAGAGGTGGGGTTGTGTTAGCATGGTATCACTGGACCTCCTTGTTGTAGATCGAAGGTCAGGGTGGAAGGGTTCCTCAGATGAACTACAATGGCCATGTGCTAAAAGGCCCAGAACACGCCATATGATGAGCACCTCAAGAAACCATTTGTGGAGACCCAAGCTCTGGCATACAACTGCAACAGATGTAAGAGAATAGTAAACAGCTCAGCACATTCATGCCCCAATGACTCCTTCTAGAGTTAAAGGCAAAAAAAAATAACTCTATAGGGCTATAGATATAATTATTAATGGATCCATAGGTAGTAAGATAATTTGTGTCAGTAAAGTCAGAATGTATTCTGGTTACAAATAAATGTGATTTATTATTATTGTTTTATTTGAATAATTTTCTTTCCCCTCTTCTTCAGAACGTCCACTTGAACTGCCATTGTTTGACCTTCAACCCTCAACCAACCAAATTGTCTTTGAAGGTGACAAACTTCCATTTGAGTGCCGGGCCTTCAAGTCGGACGAACACTCAGAAATGTTCTGGATTCGCGAGGGCAAACGATTGTCCACTAATCGCACCGCAGGCATTTTCCTGCATGAAATGTATATCCACGATCGTCAGATAATGATCACTCGACTGGTCATTGAGAAACTGGCCAAAAGTCACCAGGGAATTTGGGAGTGCCAGGTGACCACTCCCCGCGGTAACGTGTCCGAGTCAGTCAATGTGGTGGTCATTCCGAGCAACGCACTGTACTGCTCCCGTGAACGTGTGCGCACACCGAAAGGAATGTACCTGTGGAAGAAGACAGTGACTGGCATTCAGGTCGAACAGCTGTGTAATTTTGGTCGGAATCAATTTGCCACTTACTTCTGCAACGAGTACGGCCACTGGCAGGATCTTGATGTCAGCAAGTGTGACTACGTTATTGAGCTGACTCGAAAGTTAAGCAATTTGGCCACGGTAAGTAAATAGAGACTTATATGGACCCCTCTCCAATCTACATTTTATTTTTTAAATCTAATCTGAACCAGAGCAAGGGGGAGAATGTTGAATGATAAATTAGAAGAAAAAAAAAATTTGGTAAAGTTGGACCTTTGTGCCCACAAAAAAAAAAAGTGTTTCAAAAGTACTTTTTTTCCATTGGCACCACTATTATTTAAACTACTCTCTCGGCAATGTTTATTTACAAGATTCAAAAAAAATTATTTACCTTTCATTTTTGCAGGTACAAAAGTTGATGTTTGCCAAAACTCTATGTAAGATATTTCATCCACTAAAATAAGCTTAATGCCATATCACATTAAAACAGTAAAATGACCCCCAATACATTTTATAGCAAAATGTGGAATCTAATCTGAACCAGATCAAGGGGAGAATGTTGAATGATAAAATAGAAAAAAATTTGGCAAAAGTTGGACCTTTTGTGCCCAAACAAAAAAAAAGTGTTTCAAAAGTACTTTTTTCCATTGGCTCACTATTATTTAAACATTTCTCGGCAATGTTTATTTACAAATTCAAAAAACTATTTACCTTTCATTTTTTGCAGGTACAAAAAGTTGATGTTTGCCAAAAACTCTATGTAAGATATTTCATCCACTAAAATAACTGGCTTAATGCCATATCACATAAAACAGTAAAATGACCCCCAATACATTTTTATAGCAAAATGTGGAATCTAATCTGAACCAGATCAAGGGGAGAATGTTGAATGATAAAATAGAAAAAAATTGGGTAAAGTTGGACCTTTGTGCCCACAAAAAAAAAAAGTGTTTCAAAAGTACTTTTTTTCCATTGGCACCACTATTATTTAAACTACTCTCTCGGCAATGTTTATTTACAAGATTCAAAAAAAATTATTTACCTTTCATTTTTTTGCAGGTACAAAAGTTGATGTTTGCCAAAAACTCTATGTAAGATATTTCATCCACTAAAATAACTGGCTTAATGCCATATCACATTAAAACAGTAAAATGACCCCCAATACATTTTTATAGCAAAATGTGGAATCTAATCTGAACCAGATCAAGGGGGAGAATGTTGAATGATAAAATAGAAAAAAATTGGGTAAAGTTGGACCTTTGTGCCCACAAAAAAAAAGATGTTTCAAAAGCACTTTTTTCTTTTCATTCGCACTGCTGTTATTTTAACTACATTCACTTTCTTGGCAATATTTATTTACAAGATTATAAAAAATTATTTACCGTTTATAAAGATTTATTATTTACCTTTGAAACACTGATTTTTTGCAGAAAATGTTGATGCTTGCCAAAAACTCTATATAAAACATTTCATCCAGTAAAAGAACTGTCTTAATGCCATATCACATTGAAACACTAGTTTTCAGGTGATCACTGAAGTTAAGTAACATCGAGCCTGGTCAGTACCTAGATGGGTGACTATTTGGGAATATTAGGTGCTGTAAGCTTGGATGTATGTGTAGTGTAATGGATAATGGCTCAGAATTGTAAATTGGAGAGCTGAGTTCCAATTCCAATTGGCTATGTGCAAATACCCTTAAGAAAGGTATGAATCTGCCTCTTTATTTTTTTAAAATCAATTCACCCAAGCAAGGGGATAATATCACTAAGCCGCAAGGGGTTACTGGAAGTGAAAGAGAAGAAAAAGAATTTAGAAGGAACTAAACAGGAAACAAGTGATAAACCTCTACTCCTATTCAAAAGACCAGGGAGGAGTATGAACTGGATGATAGATAAACCTATCTACTTCTTATCAAGGAAAAAGATAAATAAATAAATAGTAAATAAAATTTCAGAGTTTAGGTGAAGATGCTAGGAGTCTAGAGTTGAAGTAAAATTTAAAAGGAACCGGAAACCCAATCCTAAACAAGGAACAACCTTTACTCGTATTTAAAAAAAAAAAACAGGGAGAAGTGTGAACCGGACAATAGGTAAACCTGTTTATGCTTATACAAATCCACCTGTTCTCCCACCAGCTATAGGTTAATTAACTAACGGTACAAGTCCAGGGAGTAATTAAGGAATAGTTTATATGGATAGGAGGGGAAGATAGTTGTTAACTATAGACTTGAACAGGTTAAGATTGTAGTTATCAGGGAAACATCCTCTTAGGAGTCGGTTCTAGAGAGCAGTGGTCTGTGCGAAGAAGCTGTTTGAGTGGAACTTATTTCTCACCAATGGAATACGGAGGGAATATGTCTGTTTTGCTACAATATAAGTGGCATGGCAGGTCCAAGCCATGATGGTTAGACCTGGCAGAACCAAGGAATGTAGTTCATCTGAAGACTTTCCATGGAATTAGCAATAGAGCAGTGAAAGACTCTCCATGTCCCACAAGGACTCGGAGATGCTTTTGAACTCTATCAAAACTGAAAAGTGAGGACTGGGCATCTCCCGCCCAAATATGGTAACAGTACTTCATTTTCAGCCTCATTTTGTTTCCATAAACTTCTTGTGCCAGACATGGAATTGTAACATGACGTGGTGTTTTTTGTTTTTGTTTTTTTTTTCTTTTTCATATTTTGTACAGTAAATTTGCCAGAGTGTCCAATTTGGTCTCTATGAACCAGGATACACATTGCGTTTTCTTTTGTGATGTTATCATTTTCACCAAATCTCAGGGATCAATAATAAGCACTTTAAACATCAACCTGAAAAGACAAACAAAAATGAATTAAGAAAAGAATAAACTATATATAAATTAAAACCTTAATAATATTTCTTTAACATGCAAAGAACTGTATTGATGGATCTTAACACTAATGGATACAATAAACTGTGCAGGTTGTACAGTTAATTGATGGACACCCTGTATGACTAGTTCAGTAACTATTGTTTGCTAGCAGCAAGATGATCAAATTTCGAATCTAAATTGTTTATCCATCTAAAATATTAAATTTGTTCAAAAATATGTTCAGTTTAAACACAGGAGCCATAAAAATGTCACCAGATGGTCGCTCCTTTCGGCTTATACACTTTTCCTGTTACCCAGGAGTTGTTGTCAGACAAAGCAAAATTAGTCCTCTTCACATATATGTTCATTGTAGTTTCATTCACATTGTGTGTGTTTCTACATTTGTGTGTGTATATGTATATTTTAGTTCAATGACAGACCAAAAGATATTTCAACCAAATTTTAAAAAAAGATCAAAAAATAATTTTATTACTAAATAATGTCTAATAAAATCTTTGATTATTTGTTTTTAAGGGTTTAAAAGATTCCTGTTTTTTTGTTTATTAATGGTTTTTTAATTTCTTACTTTGATTTTATTGCACAACCCATGGTAAGTGTTGTCCAGACTGTGAGCAGAATGTATTGTAACAATGTCTTCTTTCAAACTCAGTCAAATTGTGTGCACATTAAGTAGCTCAAACATGTGTAAGTCATTCATGTAGAATGCAGATATATGCATTAAATGCACACATGCAGCATCACAAATTATTAAATTTCCTTCAATGCATTTTCAGTTATTGTTCATTTAATCTCCTAAATAATCTCTTGCTTCGCTTTGAGTAACCTAACTCTTTATCCCCATTTGGATTATCCTAACTCTTTATCCCCATTTGGATTATCCTAACTATTGATCCCCATTTGGATTATCCTAACTCTTGATCCCCATTTGGATTATCCTAACTCTTGATTCCCATTTGGATTATCCTAACTTGGGTAGATTATCTTAACTTATCTCCATTTAAATTATCCTTACTTATTATCTATGTCTTCCTAACTTATTATCCCCATTTAGAGGTAGATTATCTTAACTTATTATCTCTGTTTAGATTATCCTAACTCATTTAGGAGTTTTAAAAATTAAAAACTGCCCTCAAAAATCCTTAATATAATGTCTGTAGAAAAAGAAGTATGATATGAATTGTCCCCTATTCAGCCATATTGAAAACTTCTAAGAAAATATAAAATACAATCCACCAAATGTTTTTTTGCTTACTAGCCAAATATCCATCCTAGGAACAGAGAAAAGTTGTAAATTATAAACATTTTTAATTAAAAGATTTGTTTTCATATTTATTTCTTTATAAAACAGTAAATAATAAATATTGTGTGTTGATTCACATATTTTTATAATCTTGTAAATATAAAATTAATCAACATAAACATTCTAACAACTAAATATTAATCGTTGTTATTGAAATTCTCAACCATTTAAAGCAATAGACATTGACAAAGGATTCAAAGATTAGTGCCAACCAGGAAAAAAACCATCCTTTTGACACACATTTTATTTTGCAGATACATAAGTTAAACATTGCCAAATTATCATTGCATGACCTCTATTGATTCAGAAGAATTAAGGAACCATTGATGGTGGAAAATTGATTGTCTGCTTCTATTTCAATGTATCAATCAAATGAATTCTCCAGAAGGAGGAATGATTGAGGGCAGAAAATTGATCATCTATTTGTATTTAAGTGCATCAATCTTCAAACTCCATTGGTTTCAACTATTTAATATTTTTGTTTTAAACAGAAAAATGTGGATGAAAAAAATGCTGTGGATCAAGCTAAAGGACTTCAAGAAATCCTCAATGGAAACTCGGGTTCTATAAAGCATTCGATTGAAATCACTTTAGTTGCAGTTTGTCTTTCAAAATTAACTCCATATGCGCACAAGGCAGTGAGTACTCATCTACTTTCACTTTCTTAAATTTAAAAAGCATAAATCTCCTATATTTACCCATCCTTTTCCTCCATTTCGTGATCTTTATTCATTTTTTTTTTTCTGTTTTGTTTTTCAGGGAGGTCAAGTCTACACAATAATGTTAGAAACAGCAAGTAAAATTTTGGATCTGAATGAGAAATTATTGATTCGTGCCCAACAAAACAACAATAGCTGCTCAAGGTAAGTTTACCTGCACAGGTCATTAATGATATGTGGTTTATGTAACCTGAAATTATCATACGTAGAATCAATGAGACGAATATCTCAAAATTTCCATTCACTAATGATTACATATTGCATAATATGAAAACAATACTATACTATCCTAAAATACTACAGATATTCATTGCAAATTCAATACAAATTTTACGTGGTAGCACCTGTTAGGGTCCCAGCTATGGGCAAATAGTAAACCTCCAAACAAAAATCAACAGTACATTTTAATAGTAAAATGACTAACAATACATTTTAATGGTAAAATGACTAACAATACATTTTAATGGTAAAATGACTAACAATACATTTTAATGGTAAAATGACCAATAATACATTATTATAGTAAAATGACCAATAATACATTTTTATAGTAAAATGACCAACAATACATTTTATAGTAAAATTACCAACAATACATTTTATAGTAAAATGACCAACAATACATTTTCATAGTAAAATGACCAACAATACATTTTCATAGTAAAATGACCAACAATACATTTTTATAGTAAAATGACCAACAATACATTTTTATAGTAAAATGACCAACAATACATTTTTATAGTAAAATGACCAACAATACATATTTATAGTAAAATGACCAACAATACATTTTTATAGTAAAATGGCCAATAATACATTTTCATAGTAAAATGACCAACAATACATTTTAATAGTAAAATGACCAAAAATACAGTACATTTTTTATAAAAAAAAATTACCAACAACACATTTTTGAAGTGAAATTACCAACAATACATTTAAAAAAAAATTACCAGCAATACATTTTATCATTTATAAACTATATATTTAAGAAAACATACTTTGCCATGAAAGTATCAAATTATGTACAAAATATCTGTAGTTGAAAGCATAAAATCACAAAAGAAATTAGTTGTGTGCACAAGTCTCTGGCGTTTTTACTAAAAACCTTTATTTTTCAATTATATGTGGTTCTGAACTGGACATGTGGCCAACTGATGTTAGTATTCTATCCATAAGAGTTAGGTTTCAAATCTCACCAGGGCCAATATATCAAGGAGGGGGCTTCTTGACAATATTGTCCTGGGGAGATGATCCCCACATTCAGCAACATTAGGAAATGCCTGAAAATCATACCACAGGTTGATACAATCCTTGTGAGTAAAGTTGGGTTGATGAAACTGTTTGGAAGCCATCGGTGGTTGTGCTTTTAGAGACAGATAGAATCTCTTCAGCCTTGATAGGTCTTTTCCATCTTTCCACACAATCAAAACGGAATAGTCCATTATTTATGAGATATTGGGAGGCTGTAACATACGTGTGCAGTAACTAAGGAACTGAGGGCGTGTGAAGCAGAATTCTAATAATATATTTCAAATACATTAATAAATTTAATAGATCCTTTTTTTAAATACAGCCATTGCATTTTAATATATTTAAATACATCAATAATAATTTAAATTCTTTTTTTTTAACAATCATAAATATGAACGCTGGCCATTATTTAAGGGAGTACAAATGAAAGAATTTGAAATTGAAATCTTTTTCATTTTACTGAAACAGATGTTAAACACTTCTATCTTTCCTTCCTTTCTATTTCTCACTGAAGCAAAGTTGTGTCTCTGATATGTCTTTTCCATCCTTTCATGCGATCAAAACTGAATAGTCCATTATTTATGAGGTATTGGCAGGAGACATCAAACACGTCTTTCTTTTTCTTTCTTTTTTCAATTTTTTCACTGAAGCAAAGTTGTGTCTCTGATATGTCTTTTCCATCCTTTCATGCGATCAAAACTGAATAGTCCATTATTTATGAGGTATTGGCAGGGCATAATGGTTGTGCTAACTGAGGAAGAGACATGAAGAATTATAATAAAATAACTTCTGTCTATATTTCTGAAATGAGTTATTGTAACTATTTATACTATTTACATTATTTGGACTGTTGTCCTCATCTTTACTCCCACATTCACAATGTTTTGACCAATGTACCCTCAGACCTTCTTCAAGATCAGTCCATATTTCTGTAACTATTTATTGTAACTATTTACACTATTTATATTATTCAGACTGTTGTCCTTGTGTTTATTGTCATATTTACAACGTTTCGGCCATTGTATACTCCAGCCTTTTTCAGATTCAACAAATTCAAAATACTAACAAATATCACCTGATGAAGGCATACAACAGCCAAAATGTTGTGAATTTGACAGTACATATGATGACAACAGTCCAAACAATGTTAATAGTGTAAATAATAAAATAATTGTTAACCACATCATTGCTTTTTTTGTCTCAAGGGCTGACAATGTCTCCTCTCAGGCAAGGGACAGTGTGTGCATGAGTGGAATTTTTAGATACGTCTGAACTCTCTCTCATATCTTGTGTCCCCAGATGATTGGTGGAGGGATCACTTGCTATGAAAGAGATGCATTTCTCATGCTTCTTTGTGGCACCTCTGCACCAAACCAATATGAATTCAAAGATTTCTTTCTTCTCGGTTGGTTGCCAAAAAAAGCTAGAGAACTTATTCTTCTTTTGCCATTAACCCCAGAAGGAGGTATCGGGTCGTTGACGTGCTGAGCTTGCCTCCGTTGCCTTACATCTGTCGTGATTGTGTACTTGAGTCTCTGTGAATGATTTCTTGGTTTGCTCATTATATGGCATGTCTTGGGCCTTTTAACCTGGTGGAGTCCATCTCTCTCCAGGTTTGACCACAGCTGATGTCCTCCAATTAGGTGACTCACCTTGGTCGCATACACATGGCAGATTTTAATTTATCTGAGGAACCCTTCAGCCCTGGTCAGTGACCTGTGTCAAGGAGGGTTCTAGGACAGTTGCATACTGGACATTTGTATCCTGGACAATTGCGTACCTGGATAATTTTCTCAAGTTTTTAAAGGCAATTACCTTAAATTTAAAAACCAAAAAACATAGGTAGTAATCATAATTCTTTTAAGAAGGAATAAGATATAAAAAATTAAAAGTTTATTTTTGTTTAAAATGCAATGACAGATTAACAGAGTTGCCAGATTGCTCTACACATCACCAGTAGGTTTTTGTTTCATCACCATTTTTCTTATAAGAGTGTTAGCTGTAATTTTCTTCGTCCACAAATATTTTTCCACCAGTGTTTTATTTTCGGAACATAGTCATGGGTTCCAAAAAAAATATAATCTATAAAACCCAGAATCTATTAGATGTGTGTGGTACGCACTGCTGGAGTGAACTAAAACTGCTAGCTTAATTTTCTCTTGCTTTAAAAAAGAATTCTTCTCCCTTTTTTTTTTTAATTATAGTAACTACCTTTCTACTTGTTTAGAGTAACTAAAGGTGTCGGTGTGCAAATTTCTATATTAAACAACTCTTTAAACATTTTTTTTTTCTTTCAAAATTTATGTTAACTACCTTTTTGCTTGTTTAAAATAATTAAAGGTTGGTTTACAGTTAGCATCTCTTAAGAAGAGGAAATATGGTAACTTAAAAAAAAATTATCAGAGGTACACAATTATCCAGGGACACAAATTTCTGGTATGCAATTGTTTGGGATGCAAATGTCCTGTACACAGCTGTCCATCCACTGTTGAGGAGGTCCTTTGTCCAGCAGTGTCCACATTAACATTCCCTTCCTTTACATTAGTTTATCCTGCCAGAAGAAACGGTTTACTTGGACATGGCAACTTGAAGCCATCACGTAGGAGATTTTGGAGATGGTTGGAGGACCAGTGACCCCTGCCAACCCGAAGATGAAGCGTGACAGGCATCTAAAGTACTAACCGCTATGCCCACATATACATATATATATTTCACACAGGATGTCAGAGTTAGTTAGACAACTAGTCATAGTGAACAGTTAGAGAACTTAGTATGCCTTCTAAATTAACCCATAGCCATGGAAAGATGGATTCATGCCTTTCCCTAGCGGCTTTTATGCAAAAGTAAAAGTACCCATCCATTAACTCATTGTCACATAAATAATTTAATTAAACATTAGATTTCACCTGACGATATTTTAAAAGGTTAGTTTTGTTAAGCACAAAGTTAATGACAGAAGAATAGAATACGGAAGATTATGTTGCGTCAATCTGCCTATAAAATCAGCATTTGAAATAGAGGCCTTTTAATTGGATTCGACCTCTAGCACTGTTTGGAAATACACCGTCCAACCAGAAGGCGTCATCACAACAGAAGGAACTTCGCGTCTAAGGGAGATAAATCAAGCAGCATAATTCCATGCCATATTTTACGCCATATCACGTATAGCAATGAATAATATTCGACCATCGTTTGGCAAATATTCAGAAAAAATAACTAATATTTTCATAAACACCCTCATCAACATTTTAAGACTAGCACGGGGATGCGTAACCTTTTACGACTAGTGGGCTGTATGAGATATGGCTCATCATAAGCTGGTCTGCACTACTAAAACATTCAAAGTAATTTCTTGTTGCAGAAAACACAGACTTTTTCTCTACAGAAGACAATATGAATAAGCATGGACCTTGGAAATGGGGAAAACTTCTTTTCTTTAGAAAAAAGATTTTTTCTATAATTAAAAATTGAAGTCTTGGTATATTATCATTGATTAAAACACACAAGAGATCGTTTTAATTCATTTTTTTTTTTTTTTTTTGACTATGGAAAAAATATTTTTTAAAAGAAAAATATATATATTTCCTGTCAAGAGAAAGGAAAATTATGTTTCATTCTGATATGGCTGTAAGCCAAGTATCTGCTAAAGGATAATGGTCTTGAAATAAACATACGGGGGATGTAATACAACAGATCCAAATTCAGAACTTGTAAACAAAAAATATAAAAAGTTGCCACCTCTATTAGCTGTTACATTTGCATATACATTTCATATGTTAAATTAAATATAATTATTATAATGGTCAGGGTCAGTGCAAGGATCTTGTACCCTTAATCTATGATACCCCCCCCCCTCAGACTCTACTACATCTTAATTTTATAAGGTA